TTTTCTTCTGGGGTTTTCCTCCCACGTCCACAACTGTAATTTCTTCACATTCTTCTTACTTGACCCCATGGGAGACCAGTGGATTCCACTGAATGGGCTACCCAGTTAAGATAAGAAATAAATACATACGTGTGTATAATGCATTACATAACCTTGACTTTAATAGGACGAACAAAATATTGCGGGTCTACAAATACAACTATCAGTATCGCTTGACTGTTGTTTCCAAACCCAAAACAATTGGCAAATCCTACCCTTATAATATAAAGGTAGAATGTCTATATATTCTAAGTTAGATAGGCATACAACGTGAACCATACAGAATAATGGGGAAATACTTGATCGACCAAACGGCTCCTCTTTCAATGTCAACATTTGAGGCATGTTGCGAATACGCGTTCGTGTAATACGGATATTAGAACTGGAACGCCTACGGGTTAGGTTAGGTATCCCGCGTACGGGATACCTATGGGGCTCAGAAAAAAATACTTGCATGTTACATCACTATTTTCTGGGGTAATTTCATCTGGCATAATAAAGGCAATGTACATTTCATATCAAAACGCTAAGATGCATGGATGAGGGTTTGGCGTAATAACCACACAAAATGGCGACATAACCAGCTAGTTTTTGCGAGCCGCTTACATATCCCGTGTACCCGCACAATTTCTAATGATCCCTACTAATCACATTTTTTCTCCATGCGCAAAGTACGAGTCTAAACACTTCCCGTACATTAGCACTGGGCATGCCGAATGCACACACGCAACCCATGTTGAATAGAGTTCAAGGGGAAACACCTTTTGCTAACAGCAGTTTTCCGGCTAAAAAGATGGGTCTAATTATTCCGCTAAGCTTTTTTTTTACGCCGTCCTCAAGGTTAACCTAGTCACGTGTTCACGGGTGTCATGTTCTTGCCAGCCGAACAGAAAGAAGATTGGGAACAGCTTCGAATCATTAATGATCAACATTGAACATGATAATACCAAGCCTTTAGGATCAAAATGCATGCTCGAATGTACTTGTATATCAGCGTTGGATGCAATAGCATTATTAATGTTGGCATAGATGGTTGTTCATTCATTGTGTTTACATGACGTGAGGTGTTGAGGAATATTATGTGAAATCTTTTAATTTAGACATTTTTCCTCATTTACTTCAATTAGGAGATAATTGATAAAAACGCAAACATGACAGATATTTGTGTTAAAAGTTAGCTAGCGAATTTCAGGAATAAGAAAGATCAGTGTTTCAGCTGTTATTTTTATAAGAAATTTTGAACGGCAGGGAATTTTTACTTGTACAATTATGAACGCAAAGAAGGATTTTTTTTTTTAAGGAATAAAAGAAAATATCGGCCCGTTTAATGACAAATTGGGACGACCCAAGCTATAGATTTAGAGACGAGCGTATATGAAGAAGCTATTAAACTTTTCATTTTAAATAAACGGAAATTAGTATTATTTTCTGCAATAAGAATAGAAGGATAAATTTAAACCAACCTAAATTTAAACCAAACCAAATTAAACCAACCAAACAAGGACAAATTTAGATGTTTTTGAGGGGAAAAACAATTATTTTGACGCACACTACAAAGGAAATAACATTTGGGTTTTTTTATATCATCGACACGATTATTTTTTTTTTTTTGCGCGGCAGAGTATATCAACTAAACTGATAATTCACACATATTATACTGTCGTTGTTCGTGGTTGTTTTGTGGAAATAATTCACACCAATTTCTAAGTAAAAAAAATCATCCAATTTATTATGCAGCCACGTTGCTGTGCATTTAACGTGCAAAATTTCAACGCAATTTTTCTTAAAACAGTCTCGCCAATGCAATAAAAAAAGCACGCATTTCCCCATTCCTCCCCACGACTCGTGAAGAAAATGTCCCGTAATTCTATAGAATAAATTAGATTGCTCCAGCCCGGGGGAATAGGCAAGGCAGACCGGTGTGGCAGCCTGCACTATCCCCGGCAAAGCCCCGTGAATGACGGGGGACGCCCAGCGCGCTCGGCCCGCCGTCTATCCCCGGGAATCTCACGCTTAACTTCAGGCGCTCGGCGAATATAATTTCCCGTTACAGATTAGGTTTTCTCGTTGATTGAAGGTGCTAATAGGGGATATGTGATATAGATCCGCTCACGTCTGTGTAGAAAAGCCACAAGAAAGACACAGGAAGGAGAAGCGAACAAGGGATGGGTAAGATGAAGAAGAGGAAAATAAAGATGAAGAAGAGGGGGAAAAAAGATGTAGAGGAGGCAGAACAAGAGGAGTGGAGGGTAGATTGAGGCAGGGTGGCTTTTTTTTTGGCGGGATGAGGATGGAGATGGGAAGGGGAGTTCGATATTCTTGTCACCTGTCGAGGGAAGATCGGTGATTTAGCGCGGGCAGTTCGATCGGTCGAGGTGGTAGAGCGGCTTGCAATATTTCCGACTGAGTGAGCCCACGGGGACGGAGCTACCGTGGGGGACAGATGAAGGGCAGACGGGGTAGCTTATTAGAGTAGGATTGGTGTGAGCATGTGAGGGAACGTATTCAGATGGGTATATGCTCAGTGTCCAGTTGTCAGGGATTTGCTGTTTTACAGGGGATGACAACAGCATTTATGCATATCTGTCTGGAGAAAATGTGAGCCTTCTAGCCATGGTCCCTGAAAATACTGGGATTTACACGACTATAACTTTGGACAAATTTAAAGATACAGCACCAAATCAAATTGCAAAGCTAAACAACGATATGATACGTTAGCAATGCCAGAATTAAAAATGACTCGGATAATAAACAGAGAACTCGCACATAATCTAAACGACGAAAACAAGGGTCATTCTGTGGAATGTTCAAATCGCTCTCCATGTGAAATGTGTTATTCTTTCAAAAACCCAAAGTCCAAACAATTGCGGCTGAGGTTGTCATATTGTGGCTTTGTCGAGCTAATCTCACACAAGTCCCGATTCGCCTACAGCAGCATAAGGCACATCAAATTCAATGCCAGTATACACGAGTCTCTACCAAGGGACATGTGAAACTATGTGTGAATGCTCCCGATTTGAAATGTCAAATTTCTCAAGCGATGTGGTTTCTGAGGTACATTACGGTGTAGGTTCATAAGACCTACACTGACTATTCATTTCCAAATGTTTCAATTCCCTAATGAAGGTTGTTAAAAGCCCAAGGATATCGATTTTCCCAAAGTCACGACCCTTTCAAGTGAAGTCTATGATAATTTTAAGCACAGAGGTTTGTTTAGAATGTTTTTTTTTGTAGTACAAAAGGTCATCATAATGACCCTTTGTACCAGAGAGTCTATATGCGGTAAGCCGAAGAATTTCCTCGCAGTAGCAAAACTGTTGAGAGTTATAGGGTCATTGCAAAGAAATGCCTGTGTCAAAACGAACTTGTAAACGGCTTCAAACTCCTTTATTTGGGTTCAGTTGGGTAGACACGCCTCATTTCTCTTCGAAGAAGCAACAGTGTGGTTGTTCATAAACTTCTTGAAGTCAGAATAATGGTCTAAGATGCTAAAATGGTATAAGATGCTAAAACAAGAAATCTAAGTTTATCTTTAAATCTTACAGTCATGAATAGGTCAAGTGTTTGCTTTGTATATCTGCCGGCAAATATGGGAAATATGGAGTCGAGTAAAGATGTATTATGTTAAGTCACTATCGTGACGTCATGCGTACGTCACACACGCGGTCTGCTGTTAGGAGACACATTATAGATGATGTGGATTGTTTTAATTGTTGTGATAATGACTATAGTGATGCATTATGTAATCCTAATTATGATGAGGATTGATGAAAGTTATAATGAAAGATCACTGATAATGTTATTGCTTTGTATTTTTTTTATTGTGCTCGGCTTTTAGTAAAAACAAAATGTGTCGGAAGCTAACTTTATCATTACGATGCTTTGACAAAATTTAAAAACAACATCGTCACAATGAGGCGTCAAATTTCCCGCAGGACTCGACAACAGACCCTCATATATTCCAATTTCCTCATAAACACGCTAATCCACCTCCCCCGCTCGCCACCAAACACAGCCTAAAAATATCCATCAGATAAAAAAAAGGGGGAAAATCTACCAATGATCTATAATCAGTGATGGTATATACAGCCCGTCTATTACTCCACGACCGAGATTCTCTCGCGTCCCTCATGGGGGCCCGAGCCTGCTAAGACCGCGTCTGGCCTGTGCGTCCCGCGTGGTGGTTTTAAGCTTTACGTACCCGGCTTCCCAGTCCCGCCTGCAATTACATAAGTGTAATTTTCACAGTAGATTTGATCCCAATGCAATAGAGGAGATAAACTCGAACTACCCGGGCGCCACTGCTCCGCCACCGCACCAACCCGCATAAATTTAATTCCCAACATGTCTGTCTTTCTCATTTTCTTGTGATGATTTCACTCCAAAAGCACGTCAAAAAAATCCACCCGATGGGCCAAAACCTTTGTTGGGTCAAAAACGGATGAGGGAGAATTTTAATTTGTGCCACCCCTTGATTGGTTTTTCATTCGGGTGAAGAAAATCTTCGAATACAACGGGTTTAATCCAAGTAAGAATTTAAGCTTATCAACAGAAATACATTTTGATGTGGAGAATTCACAACGATACACAACGAAACACACTGAGAAACTGAAGTGCATAGTAAAGGTAACCACTGCATATTGATGTGCATGCAACTTATACACAGAATTATCAATTTCAACTTAAAGTAAGGAATTTTTTTGTTTTGGATGGATGGTGCGCATGTGCAATAGGCCCGAATGTCAGGTGTCAAAGGGTTAGTGTTATTTCTGTTTAAAATGCAGCCGTAAAATTGGTTTCATGCAAAACCATCAAATAAAAGCACACAAAATTGAAATTTATATCAGGCAAAGTAAATCGAAGTTGAGATGACTTTATGCACAGACACACAAAAGTAAATATGTTTTAGCTTGAAATGTTCCAGCTTTTTGGTGGTATTTTGAGAGGAAAAAAACACTAACCGTGAGCCGGGTATGCTCCAGTTCCGTTGTGCGACGAAAAATCTGAAAGAAAGGAGAATTATCTGCGAATTTATTTTGTTGTTCAAATCCAATTTTTTTTTGTTTTGCTCATGCAATTATCTATTGGAATTCGTTAAATACACATGTACTGTAGCTTTAATAGTCTGGTGCCACTTTATGTTGACACAAGTAATTACAGTGGTTTATACCTTTGGTTTACATATAAAATGGGTTTGCTGTGGTTATTTTTCTGCTTTCAGTGGTCGATTGTTCATTCCGTGTAATGACAGCAAGACAATTACGCTCAAATGTTTTCCATGAGCAGAATTATGCATTTACAATTTGAAGAGAAAAGCCCTAAACTGAGGGGAGTGTTCCTAAAGTGACATCACAGCAACAACGCCCTCAGTTGTCAGGAATAGCAGGAAACATTTTAAAAGTATAAAGAGTACACTTTGCAAAAACTTGTACCAACAGGTCTCCCAGTTTTTTTTTTATACATTTTAGAGAAATGGATATTTGCTACAAACATGCTCCAGTGTACAATTCATTTCATGCACCTTTTGAATCAGTTCATATAGTGATCTCATGCACGAAATAGTGTGGTAGCTATGATGTCGTTTTTATTCCAATCGGTTCACTCCAATGGCGAACGCATGGAGCAGTACAAAATTGCGGCAATGTCAGATGACAAATTTATCAGCATCATTACTCAAGCTTTACAAATTATGTGGACTGTTACGACATTATTTCAGAACATGTTACCCAGTTGTGTTTCTGCTCTGTTAAGGTAATCAACGACCAAAAAAAGTTATTCGCCACGCTACAACCAGTTTCAACGGAGTACATGCCGCGATGTTGAAATCGATACCACAAATTAATATAGGACCCAACAACGTGGAACCGCTATCGTAAGTCAAGAAACTAGTACTCCATTGTTAAAGCGCAAAACACAAACATACACTGCTACCGTCGCTTTGAACATTGATTGCAAACGCCAACCGAATTTTATTCGCCTTGGAAATATTATATCAAGTTTTAATTTTCAATTCGTTTCGCACCAGGGTATCGATCGGAGAGGGAGGGCTATTGGGGAAGGGTGGGTTCGGAAATAAACACGGCACAATGCGGGCAGAGGGGCCACACAAAAAGGTCTTTGTGGCCGGGCCAGCGCGGCTTTTATTCGGGCCGCGATGTTGTCGTCTGCCAAGGCGCGTTTTGGAGGGAAATTGAAAATGTGCAATATCCGGCGTGGGGCAGGCGCGGGATCGATCCGCCATATTGTTGCTAGGTCGCACGTGCTTGTTCGTCTCCCAAAGATAGAACTTCTTGAATCGATTGAAGAGGGAGTAGGAAAAAAAAGGCAACGTCACGTGGTCAGAAAAAAAAAGGAAAAAGGGTTTTTTGGTAATATGGAAACTGTCAAGGTGCAGAAAAAAACAACTAAAAAACATTTCACAAACACCCAGGCTGATGCATTTTTTTCAGCTTCAAATGATTTTTTCGACATGTTACGAAAGTTGACACTAACTTGTGCATGTCATGAAGGGTGATTTTGAAACCAAAGTATTCAGTCCTCAGCAGTAATCACTTCACTCGTTTAAAACATTTAAAGAATCAATTAATCCTGCATTATTTTAGATACAGTTTCTATGAGCAAGGGACAGAATAAATCGAGATTAAGATGAAAATACATCCTTTTTCTTTCAGACGCTATTTTTTTTATCAAAAATGGCGGACGTCTTGCCAACCACTAAGCCTATTTGGAACACCTCCCACCAAATCATCTGCACGACATGGATTATAAAACAACGCATGCGCAGTAGTGCCTTGCACTCTTCCCCAGGGAGTTTCGTGCCTGCGGTGTGAAGGCGCACCACAATTCTCAAGGTCGCCCCGGCTTCTTATTTTTTTTATATTCCCTTTTCCCTTCTTATTTGCCTCCGATCGGCGGCGTTATAATCCGCCACACTTTTAATTTCATCAGGCGGGAATTATGGCTAATGGTCGGAGCGTGTTAGCGCTGCTCACCACCCAGCCGGGACAGCGAGGGACGGGGCCGGGATTGGCTGGCAGTGACGGCGGATGCACCGACCGCATTACCGCCAGGTGACCAGGTTCGGTGTCGCATCACTGCGCCAGCCCCTGCGTGACTAATGTCAGCTTTCTTTAAATGTCAAAACCAAGCCGTCAAAATGAGGTGTCGAAGAAGATACCAATTGCGATGGTGAAATAAAATAGTTCTTACAGATGAGCTTCTTAGATGACCACTCGAACTTTACAGAGTTCAGAGATGTGACCTATTTTGTTTTCAGAACAGTGTTGTCATCCTTAAATTATTTTCAACAACAATGACTAGGTCAAGTGCTATATCTTAATACCTTTGATTGATAACAAGTGCAAGATCTAACAAAAAGATGTAAACAAAATATAAACTTGTGGTATTACTACGCACACACAGTGCGCATGCGTAACACACGAGCTCAGAACACAGTTTAAGAGGGTTTAATAATTCTAACAAATGATGGAGAACACCAACATGTTATTGAGACCAGCAAATGTCTGCATTCAACCTACTCTACAGTTTCTCATGCTAGTGCTACGCAATGCAGGGCAGTGGCGATAAGCGGGAGAGTGAGGGCGCCCTCAGTAGCTGACAGCGCAGCCCTCAGAGGGCGGTCTTGCCAAGATGGCGGACAGCAAAGATGACACGGGGTCATTTGTACTTTTGACGCAGCGAGGAAGCTGCAGCAAGAGCGGTCCATTGCGACTAGGACTTAAGTAGCAGCAATAAATAGTATCACTATAGAGGCTGAGCGAAACGCGAGCAGTTATAGACGGGGAGAAATATCGACTTTTGTCGCCACTTGAGGATAGAATCTCTGTCGAGAATAAAGTCCAGAGATTTACGTCGGTTGACTGGTTAGGATGTATGGGTGCTAATGGGATGAGGCTTTTGGCGTTAAACCAAGTATTTCATTTGAACATTACTGCTTTAAAATGGGTATTCATATTTCGACTAGCGAATTAGTATTGTGAGTCGTTTGTACGTGGGTTTGAAACCCTGACGGGGAACATTGTGCTTGTGTTCTTGGGCAAGACAATTTACTACAATTGCCTCTATCCACCCAGGAGTCTAAAGGGGTACCTGTAAAGGTACAGACCAGATTGCGCTGATCTCGAGCTGCTGCGAAAAAAACTGGTCGCATGACCTGATGTTAGGGGTAATAATTGTGAAGCCTTTGGGACATTCGGTGCAAATTAAAGCGCTATATAAGCACTACATTTAGTATCATTCTTGACCAACCTAGATTCAAATTATACATGACTGTAAACCTTGGCAGAGAAATGCTTCCGAATCTGATCAGGCAAATCGAAAATTTTTTCATGATCAGTTCAAGAAATTTAAAACTGAGTAGTTCATACAAAGAATGAAAAATAAAAATAAGATCTCTACCAAAAAACAGAAAGATCTGTTTTCTCTTAAGACGCCGAAACTCAGTTCTAGATTCACCTCCCGAGTAATGTTCAAGGCTTAGCGGTCGTGGCTGCATATAGACACGGGGGAATTAGCGCCGTGGACACCGCGGACGGATCAAGAGATTCCCGGTCGCTTAAACCGTACTACCACGCATCCATCTGTCGCCGCGACAGATGAGTGCAAAAATGAAGCCAATATTTGGGGTTAATCGAACTTGGCACAGAGTTGGTGGAAGAAATATTATCCCCGAAAAATTATTGTTTTGATAGAAACCTGAAAATGTAATGATGATTTAAATCCTACTGCAAAGGTTGTGTTTTGAAAAAGCCAATTTTTTTTCGTGAATATTATTCTAGCCACAAATATTATATCTAATTATTTTTAATCGATCTAATTAACCACTAGATGAAAATGACTACATGTATAAGCATATTCAACAATCATTGTAAAGTTTAGCTAAGAGGAAATTGACCGGAAGGGGGCTTGAACCTACGACCTCCGGTTTGCTGTTCTGCCGCTCTACCAGCTAAACTATCGAGCCCTGTGTTGGCGGTTCCCCATGTAACATGTTGAACAATATCGTTTGTTTCAAGCTCACTAGTCGGAAACTATAAACTTGTATAATGTCATGTGGCTAGGGAACACGCCCAACTACTGCTCATAACTATCGAGACCTAGAGCCAATCTTGTTATCACTATATGCAATGACAGCATAGCCATGACAATAAGGCCGTAGTAATTTCATCAGTCAAACTACTGTCACACAATTCACCAATTTTACGAGCGTCCAAGGCATGTTCATTATTTTATTTCCCACTGTAACATTCCTAAAAAACAAATAAACAAAAACAAAACAAAACAGAAAGTGAGGGCATTTGAATTGCCAACACTTTTACCTGTGTTTTTGGAATAACGGAGAAATTTGTTTTCCCCTGCATGTTTGAAACACATCACTAGCATATTTGTTATACTTAAAAAAAATGTTTAACTAACATACAGGGAAAAAAGCTATTTATTTTCGTTTCTTACTGATACTCCGGATTTCGGAGGTAGTTAAAATAAGCAATGGACGTTGGGGGCGCTGTTTTTCTTACCACTCTCGCCTGAGGGTCACTGTATTTGCGACGTCATCAGATGCCCTGCTCAACTGCACACTGTATCAATTATTTCAATACAATTGGAAATTGCCTTGACCTTTTTTTATTTTGAAATGAGAATGCTTTCACGTCGGGATCCTGATCCTGCTATATATCTTTGATTTGTCTGACGCCAATATTGTTCATTTTTGTGATTTACTTTATTGAATGTATGGAAATAAACTATAGCAGCCCCAACTTAAATACAGTTGGGTAAATTTTCGTATATAAAATTGTCCCTTTGCATGGAAATAGCCCACCTATTGTGTCCGAATGTAGATGTGCAGAAACTAAAGTAAATCACTACAACTAATGAGGTATTTTGAAGTGAAAATGATAATTGGCAATTTTGAATTAAGAAAAGTTTATGTTTTTCGACAAGAGATTGGATGATCACAATAAAAGCAGGAACTCAAGATGTCACA